TTTTTTGACATGTTTGAAAATTATCGGGAGGACGGGGGGGTGCTCGTAACGTTCTCGGATCGGCCTGTAATTCTTCTCACACGGTACGAGCCGCGACCATGCGAGCATCTGCGATATTCTCCCGAGAGAAAAAAATCGCCTGCGAGCTCGTACGACTGCAAAAATCGCACCATGTACGGCCGCCTTTACTCTGTTCCAGAGCATATGCATGACTGCCAGCCTTGAGTTGCAGTCTTACTAACCAATAGAGTGAGCGCACCTCCGTTCTCCCCAATCAGCACTGCTCTAGCCAACTGCGTAAAAACACCCACCATTTAAAAAAACAAAAACAAAAAAAAAACGGAAAGCGGGAGAGAGACAGAGTGGGATTATGGCGTCTACTGGGTAGATCGATAGTTAGGCAAATTAAAACTAAAGAAAAACGTATGCAACTTAAGCTTCGAAATGACAGACAACGAACAAAAAATGTAATTTGCAAGAGCTGCGTCACAGCGCATATCAAAAGCTCCCTTATCGGTTCTGTTTTCAGTACTGGAGAATAAAAGATACATTCTTAGATGTTTTTGTTAGTACGTGAACGTTATCTTACACATTTTATCTCCCCAACAGATTAATTTGAAATAAGTTTATGATGCATGTTTGCTATTCCCAATTCAGAAGAGCGCACACACAGCCTGTGTCTGTGAATGCTTCTCATACTCGCTCCTCTCTCGAATCCCGCGTCACGGACGAGCCGTTCATTCTTGCCGCACTCACGCAGCCTGTCTCGTAATGCTCGTTTATACTCGCACCCGGCTCCGCACTGCAAGTCTTCACGAGCGCATCTGGCAGTATGGATGAGGCTTGGCGCAACCTGTGTCGACTCGCGCCTGGCTCCGCGTTTAAAACAAGTGTAAATTCAGTCTAACTGCTTGCTAATTTCACTTGGATGAAATGAAACATTCAGCACATTTTCCACTTGTTCTTAAAATCCCAAATACTTAAAATGAATAAATCAGCCTATGTAACATATGTAATACTTTAATAATTGACTTAAGAAATACAGTTCTTTATTTATAAAAAATAGACAAATATTTTCTGTGAAATTCAGTAATTAAGTTAATTCTGTAAAAGTAGTTATACCATTATAATCTTGCCTGCTGAAAAAAAAAAACTATAGAACCCCTCCCAAAACACAATAAAAAATGTAATGGATTTCAGGGTTATAATGGGAATTGTATTGGTTTTTGTAATGGTTTAATGGAAACTATAAGAATTTCTGTGATAGTTTCTATTGTTTTTTTCAGCAGGGTAATGATACCCATACTGTGCTGCACATTATTGACAATATTGAGCTGAAGCTTGACTTTGCAAATTTAAAATCGCAAATCAAATCGCAATCGCAATATCTGTCAAAAAAATCGCAATTTGATATTTTCCCCCAAATCACACAGTCCTAAATCACACTATGAACTTTTAACTGACCCGAACTCTGACTACCCCTTATCATTAGCCAACATGGCAGACAGGCCTTTTCAGATGTAAATCACTTGCCGCTCAAGTAAGGTTTGTTAATGCATACTTAAACCTTTATGTGAGTTATCAGGGCAATCAACAAAACAACCAGTTATTTATCTTATGTCACAACATAACGGACCTCTATGTCAGATTTTGCAATGTTTTGTAAACCTCTTTAAGACATTTTAGAGTCAAGCACCTGCAATATAATGTAATAGTAAAAGTATTACTAAACAATGTTTGATCGCTAGTTGCAGTCAGTGACGTCTTAAGTAAATGTAAATACAAAGGGGGAAAAAAGTCATATTTGTGTCAAGGAAATAGGACTGTAGTGTGAATGCAGCCACATAACATTAACAGAATAAATTTTTCTCTCCATTTTCTTCAAGTATAAAGGGCTCGTCTTACAGGGTGCTGACTGCCCAGAAATAGACTGTGTGTGTGTCAGAGTAGAGAGGTTATCATACTCCCTCTGAGGGGTGTGGGAGTTGTGTTTGTACTTCAGTGGAGAGGTCACCCTACTCTCAGTGTGTGTGTGTGTGTTTGTTGTACTTCTCTTTTGAGTGCAGAGCGTCAGCAGCAATAACCCTCAGGGGTGTCTGGTCTACTGCGTCAAACTACACATTACGCAATCTGACAAAATAATGCAACACTAAACTATGTCACAAATGGCAAACTAAATGCCACACAAAACTACATTACATGTGAAACTAAACAATGTCACAAACATCAAACATAGCAATAATGTAAACAACACCAAAACACCAGGAAAAATAATATTTAAATTTAACAATGCCAAAAAACATGCTAAACTAAACCACCAAAACCATTTTAAAGTAAACAATACCAAACCAGACTAACAAACTAACAAACAAAACTAACAAAACAATATCCAACAAATTATCAGCCTAAAAAGCTACACAGTATATGTGACCCTGGACCACAAAACCAGTCTTAAGTGTAAATTTTTCAAAATTGAGATTTATACACCTTGTGTTGTGAGTCTTTGCAGTGCGTTTCTGTATTTGGTTGTGTTGTGAGTCTTTGTGTTTCTGTATTTGGTTGTGTTTTGAGTCTTTGCAGCACGTTTCTGTTATATATATATATATATATATATATATATATATATATTATACACACACAAAGAAAAACAAGTAGATAGAATAGAAAAAATAGAAAGCTAGTGTTTGTTTGTTCTAATATACATACACACACATGTTGGTATTGGTGGTTTACGGGGACTCTCCATCAGTGTAATGGTTTTTATACTGTACAAACTGTCATTTCTATCGCCCTACACCAACCCTACACCTAAACCTACCCCTCACAGAAAACTTTGTGCATTTTTAGATTTTCAAAAAAACACCATTAATATGTTTTTTTAAGCCTTTTGAATTACGGGACACAAGTAGTGTCCTCATAAACCACCTTCATATTGTAATACCTGTGTCATACCCATGTCATTAGCCTATACAAATTTGTGTCCTCATAAACCACCCAAACCAGTGCACACACACACACTTATTTTAGCTATTTGCCAAGGAAACTTTTTAAACTAAATTGAATAAAAATTTAATTAAACTTGATCTACTAAAATAACTGAAAATTAAATAAAAACTGAAATAAAAACAAATTCAAAATATTAATAAAAACTACAACAGAATCTCAGTAATACTAAAATAACACTGGAGAATGAAGCACAACAGTGTCTCTTGGCCGCAGAAGACTTTCATAAGCTCTTCAGGAACATCCAAATACATTACATAAGTTGTCCATCTTGGACCCTGCTGAGTAGGATTTTATGCTGACACTAAATCACATGCCAGTGTCACCTGCTGTCAAGGTCTATGGCATCAGTGCCAACACCTCAACAGAGTCTGACCTGACTCATTGCCCTGCATGGGATCATGGGTAAAAAAGACTGCATTGTCAATGACCATGGGAACTCTGGGAATACCATGATACTACTGGATGATTAGCGTATTCATGTACCTAGTTATTTAGGGTACTTGAAGGAATACCAAAACAATGTAATACCATAGTACTTTTTGTGCTTTTCTGTTAATGCAGAAGCAGCAGGGAAGAGCTGAGATCAGCAGAACCCCAGTAGGCTAATGACACTTGACTCATTCTCACATACACACTGCAGCACAACATTTGCACCATAAACCGTCTTAAGTTAATGACAGAGGGTTGAGGCTGTGACCGTCTCGGGCTCGGGTTCTTACCGGTAGGCATTCCTCCACTCGGTTCCGTCCGACCCGCGTCCGATGCACTGCGTTTGGATCAGATCAGCTTGAAAGGGGGTTTGGGTTTGACATATGGATCGAAACACGTCTGGATCACACTCACACACACACACACACACACACAAATACGGATTAAGTGAATCCGATCAGAACCCTTCAGAGCTTAAACTGACGGCTATAAAAACACATGATCAAAAATGGCGCTACGGTGTCTTGTGTTGATAAGAATTAATAAAGCGAAGAAAGAAAGAGAGCTGTTTGCGAATACCTGTAGATGCAGATTAAGCGCAACACATCCGCGTTTCCTGCTTCACATTCCGCGTGACGTCGGGACTCGCCAACACGGAAGTGATAGTCGAGCGGCGCTGAGAAGAGAAGAGAAGAGAGCGGAGCTGCGCGCGCTCAGAGTTTGAAAAAAACAAAACCACAACACACGTTGCGGGGATTCACAGAGTGAAACAGGTGGGTAGAAGAAAGAAGTTGTTTACTTTGTTATATTGTATTATAATGACAAGTCTCTGGAAGTTTGTGTGAATATTATCTGCTCTCTCATCCAGCTTCTAAAATTAATAAACAGGGCAATCTCAGTTGCTTTTGATTTAGGTTAATGAACTGTGTGTGTGTGTGTGTGTGTGTGTGTGTGAGACGTGTACGCGCGTGTAGGTTGCTGGATAAAAAGTCATTAAAAAATCTATTACAGCTCTCAGAGTTTTGCATGGCATGTGGCCAGATTATTTTTACCATCAATTTCTTCTTAAAGGAGTAGTTCAACCAAAAAAATTGGTGTGGGAAATTTCTATCGTTTACTCTTTAATGAATGTGACTTTTTTTTCTATGGCACTCTACAAGAGACCTTCTGTTGCTTTGTTTTCCGTTTTCCATGCCAGTACAATGAACTGTACCTTGTAAACAGCAACAAAACTATTAAAAGGCACCATAGAAGCATCATAATGTAGTTTATTTCAGGGCTTTTAGGTGCCATGGACCCCCAGTTATGATAATCCTCATGCAAGGGACCCCCATCCTAAAATTGAAAGGACTGATATATTCATGTATAAAAACCCAATTTACACAGTGAAAAACTAATATTATAAATATGTGTAAAATATAATTTGGAAAATATTTCATTTTTTATGTTACATTATTATTTTCTACTCACAATAGTACTATACTGGACTATTTATTTGTTTATTTTAATCACATTTTAAAATTGATTTTCAAATAATTTATTAATTTTATTTATTTATTTTTTTTAAATCCTAAAATTTGCCATCTTTTCAATTAAACATTTAATCTAGTTCATACAACTGCTCTAACTTATTTGTTCATGAATTTGACTGATTCGCTTCTCAAGTTCAGTTTCAGTACTTAATTATTTGGCCCCGATTACTGGTTAATGGTCCACTGGAGGGAAAGATTATCAGTAAATAACTTTTACATTTTGGTATTGTATCATTTCAGAAATCTTGGAATATAGTCATAAGAACCACTTTTATGAGGCTTTTGTAACCTTTTTCAAATCATAAAAGTTTCAATCCCCATTCATTGTAACTGAATGGAAAAGAATATAGATAAGATATTACTAATTACCTAAAGATAATGAATTGAAGGGGTTTGTTCTAACTGGCTTTTGATGTCTATGTTGTTACAAAAACCTGCCACTTCATTACAACACATTATGGGCAGAATCTGATCATTTACAGTAGTCATAATGTATTATAATTCAAAGCCCAGTAATGTCTGCCTGTGTCAGACCTCCTGTGTATAACTGGATTATATTAGGATAAGCTGAAACCATCCAGTCAAACAGCCTAAACTATGAGGGCCTGTGTGTGTGTGTGTGTGATAGAGAGAGAGAGAGAGAATACACAGTATTAAGATAAGACCTTTGCTTTACAGGAATTATGTGTGATTAAGCTCCATTTTATCCAAGCATCTGTTAAAACACTGAAAACACACACACTCAATCACTCACTTTCTCATGCATACTTACAATTCTCTATAACTAGGTGTGTTTACATTGTATTATGGCTTGAATGTTTAACACAATGTGCTAAGGGAAACAGCAATGCTGTTGCACAAACTGGTTTGAAACAGCTCTGGCACCTACAGATGCAAACATTTGCATAATAATTACTGAAGTGCTGGCCAAATAATCCTATTTCACCAATAATCTCCATCAAATCTGTGTAAAGTGATTTCTCCCTGTGGACACACACACTGTTTTCTGCCTCATTGATATTTGTGGTAATGAAGCATGAAAATTTGGGCAGTTTGATTGATTGAGTAATGGTTTAGCTGTGTTTGTTTGTGTGCACAAATAGCAGCTGGTATTGCCAGTCATTCAGTAAAGTGCCGTAGTTATTTGAATATTGCATGCACACGCACACGTGTATTGCAGTGATTGAACCTAAAATATGCACTTTTCTTTTTGCAAATATACATTTTAACCTAAAATCTTTGTTTAAAATTAAGTTGGATACATATATTATTTATATGGATACAGTATATTATTTTTCAACTCCTTACAGATACAGACAAACCCACACGTACTCTTGCACATTATTCTCTTAATCAGTCTGAAGACATTCATTTAATACACTTGAATTTGTGTGAAACTCAAAACTGATTATGTACATTTATGTAGACAAGTTTTAACATCAGGGTTTATAAAATTTACATCAGGACTTCCAGTGTGGAAATAAATATTAAAAGAGTTGTACATGCAAATTTGATTATATTATTATTTGATTTGGCAACTTGCATGTTATTTTTTGCATATATGTGGAAAACAAAAGTAGATATTATGAAGAATGTTGAGAATATTATGAAGATGACAGTGGCAAGGCAAGAATATTGTTTCCATTTCCAGTTTATAACAAACAAATTTTGGTCTGTTCTGTTATATGGCTTCAGAAAACTTGGAAAATATTCCAAAAAAGTCCTACTTGCACAGAATACTTGTATGGTACTTTCTTGGTTTTTATTTGTCATTTTTGGAGCTTGACAGCCAGTTACAGCCAGCATAAAAAAAAATCTCTTTTTGTTGTCTATGGAAGAAATGTCTTGAGGAAATGTTTTGTCTTGAAACTGTCTTGAGGATTGTTACATAACCCTGCCACTTCATTACGACACATTATGGGCAAAATCCGATCATTTACAGTAGTCATAATGAATAATAATACAAAGCCCAGTAATGTCTGCCTGTGTCAGACCTCCTGTGTATAACTGGATTATATTAGGATAAGCTGAAACCATCCAGTCAAACAGCCTAAACTATGAGGACCTGTGTGTGTGTGTGTGTGATAGAGAGAGAGAGAGAGAATACACAGTATTAAGATAAGACCTTTGCTTTACAGGAATTATGTGTGATTAAGCTCCATTTTATCCAAGCATCTGTTAAAACACTGAAAACACACACACTCAATCACTTTCTCATTTGTGTGTGTGTGTGTGATAGAGAGAGAGAGAGAGAATACACAGTATTAAGATAAGACCTTTGCTTTACAGGAATTATGTGTGATTAAGCTCCATTTTATCCAAGCATCTGTTAAAACACTGAAAACACACACACTCAATCACTCACTTTCTCATGCATACTTACAATTCTCTATAACTAGGTGTGTTTACATTGTATTATGGCTTGAATGTTTAACACAATGTGCTAAGGGAAACAGCAATGCTGTTGCACAAACTGGTTTGAAACAGCTCTGGCACCTACAGATGCAAACATTTGCATAATAATTACTGAAGTGCTGGCCAAATAATCCTATTTCACCAATAATCTCCATCAAATCTGTGTAAAGTGATTTCTCCCTGTGGACACACACACTGTTTTCTGCCTCATTGATATTTGTGGTAATGAAGCATGAAAATTTGGGCAGTTTGATTGATTGAGTAATGGTTTAGCTGTGTTTGTTTGTGTGCACAAATAGCAGCTGGTATTGCCAGTCATTCAGTAAAGTGCCGTAGTTATTTGAATATTGCATGCACACGCACACGTGTATTGCAGTGATTGAACCTAAAATATGCACTTTTCTTTTTGCAAATATACATTTTAACCTAAAATCTTTGTTTAAAATTAAGTTGGATACATATATTATTTATATGGATACAGTATATTATTTTTCAACTCCTTACAGATACAGACAAACCCACACGTACTCTTGCACATTATTCTCTTAATCAGTCTGAAGACATTCATTTAATACACTTGAATTTGTGTGAAACTCAAAACTGATTATGTACATTTATGTAGACAAGTTTTAACATCAGGGTTTATAAAATTTACATCAGGACTTCCAGTGTGGAAATAAATATTAAAAGAGTTGTACATGCAAATTTGATTATATTATTATTTGATTTGGCAACTTGCATGTTATTTTTTGCATATATGTGGAAAACAAAAGTAGATATTATGAAGAATGTTGAGAATATTATGAAGATGACAGTGGCAAGGCAAGAATATTGTTTCCATTTCCAGTTTATAACAAACAAATTTTGGTCTGTTCTGTTATATGGCTTCAGAAAACTTGGAAAATATTCCAAAAAAGTCCTACTTGCACAGAATACTTGTATGGTACTTTCTTGGTTTTTATTTGTCATTTTTGGAGCTTGACAGCCAGTTACAGCCAGCATAAAAAAAAATCTCTTTTTGTTGTCTATGGAAGAAATGTCTTGAGGAAATGTTTTGTCTTGAAACTGTCTTGAGGATGAAAAACTAAAAAAAAAAAAAAAAGTGTGTGACGTGACATGTGGCCAAGTATGGTGACCCATACTTGGAATTAGTGCTCTGCATTTAACCCATCCAAAGTGCACACACACAGCAGTGAACACACACACACACACACACACACACACACACACTGTGAACACACACCCGGAGCAGTGGGCAGCCATTTATGCTGCTGCGCCCGGGGAGCAGTTGGGGGTTCGAGGTCCTTGCTCAAGGGCACCTCAGTCGTGGTATTGAAGGTGGGAGAGAGTGCTGTACATTCACTCCCCCCACCTACAATCCCTGCCGGTACGAGACTCGAACCCGCAACCTTTGGGTTACGAGTCCGACTCTCTAACCATTAGGCCACGACTTCCCCACCCACGACTTGAATGAAAAAAATATTTAAGTAATATTTTTTTCTAAATATTTAAGAAAAAAAAGAATGAAAAAAATATTTAAGTTGTAAATAAAACAAAGATTATTATAGTATGTTTTTTCAGTGTGGCAATTCATTTTATGTGACACAATACCCTAGTAAAAATGTAATATATTTAAAATACATGTATTTCATACTAAGTAGCCTATACTTCAAATCTGTTAAAGGGATAGTTCACCCAAAAATGAAGATTCTGTCATTAATTACTCACCCTCATGTCATTCCAAACCAGCAAGACCTTTGTTAATGTTCGGAACACAAATTAAGATATTTGTTATGAAATCTGAGAGCTTTCTGAGTCTGACCCTG